CATCCTTCTCCGAGTCTGACGCTAAGGAGGTCAAATATGCATGAAAATCACGTGCGACTGCCGTTGTATTTGACGTAAGTGGGCGAGGACTATTGAAATTGGGATGGGAGTCCTCATGTAATTTAAGTTTATTTTTACAACAAGGAACCACTGTCTAGTTAGTATAGTATGCCAGGGACGTCAATAATAGTGGGAAACAAGGGATAATGTAGGCATAATGGGCTTTGCCCGTTATGCACATTATGCACGTTATGCACATTAATGGTGAAGATATAAAAAAATTGTCCTATACTCGGAACACAGGGCAAATTGAGTAGGTATGGATCATTTTAATGCTATCACCTACTGCAACATTTAGGGACCTCTCCACGTCCAACAGTGGGATTCGAACCCTGGTTGGACATCAGCAGACACTACAAGTCTAACCACTGTATCTTGATGAAAGTATATGAACTTGATGAAAGTATGTTAACCTCTCATCTGGGTGTTCAGGGCAGGGGAAAAGATTGAACTGGAATGTTAAAGGCTAGGCACTCTTAAATCAAAATTGGGAGTGGGGGTCAAATTTTCATGGTTTAACAGTAATTGAGGAAGAAAAAATGATGGTAAGAAATCTAACAAAATTGAATTGTGGAGATCATGATTTGGGGAGAACATATACATCAGAAAGCATAAAAAGGGGCACAACCCTTGTCATTACATTGAGTCGCTCAGATTTTTATGATACTGTAGATGTACCGTACCTTTTTCTACAGAATAATAGGTTCACGGAATCTCAGTTTCTGTTTAATCCGCTGGTAGAAAATAACGTGGATTTCTAAGACTGTATTCCTAATATTTGTATTTAATACGCTTGGACAAATTTCTGTGGAAAATTTCTGACTGCGCACATGGCGTAAATTAATATCACGCGGATAAAAGTACTTCTACAGTATATAATACGTTTTAGAGGGTGGTGAATTAAACTTTATAGAATCATTAAAACGCCACTTTTTATATAAAGTTGAATTTTTTTTTATACAAATCAAAAAGTTAATTATGTCCCCGTCAAAAAATGACCAATAGCTTAGAGAACTACTTTTGCCTTTTACTGTCAATCTGTCATCAACATCTATGTCTTTGAATCATTCGTATCAAATTCATATCTCCATGGAAATTGATCTCTTATGGTTATTATATATCATGTACATTTTGTATATAACTGCTGGTTATGCAGCTGATTGATTAGCAGGCATGTTTAAGATCAAATATGATTATTATGAATAATATTATTTAAGAAATTTATGAATTCATTGAACTGTAACATTTTTTGCTGACACTCATGAGGATAGGACAAAAATTAACAGAAATGGAACTCTGACTTGACAAAGAGCCATAGCTGCCTTACCGACGACTCGGCCTATACAAGTATTTAAAAGGAAATCATCTGTTTCTATTTATAGAAACATGTACCTTTTCAAATCAAAATCAATCCACATATATGTAAACATTTGTAAACCAGTGTTATATTTTCATAGTTGCAAGTTTGTTGCATGACAGTAATTTTATTTGTCCAATACTTTTATTCTAAACAAGATTGTTTGAAATTTTTAAAAAATAAAACAGGCTAGCATGCAGCTATGATTTTGGATCATTAAATTAAGACTGTTTTTCTCCAAGATAAACTTTCAATGTGTAATGCTGTATTATATATCTCTTTTAAAAATTATTTATACATGTATTATAAAATAATAAAAGAAAACATAGGAAAATGCACACAAGAAAAAAAATAAGATCGTAATACACGCACAGTGAGATTCAAACTCACGATCATTATATCTTCAATCCAGCAATCATACCACTATGCCACGAAGTTTTGGCAATTAATTGGATAAAATTAAGACAAATTATTGAATTTTGAAATAATTTTAGAAGAAAAATTATAAACATATTTTCAACATTTTCAATATAAAGTCCACCTTTAACCAAAATTATCTAAGCGTAATGAAGTGTAGTCATATCCAAATAAAATTATTCAGAAGTTGTTTTTCTGGTTAAGGGTGGTCTTTAGCTACAGTTTCACATTGTTAAGGGGGGTACCTCAGTATTTACTATATTCTCCATATAAACTGAACGATTTTTATATCTATCATATGAGGGAACTATCAATATTTGAATATTATTTTTGTGTGATTTGCTTTAAGGCATGTATAAACTAACATTTTATGACAAAAAAAAATGGTTAAATAATGTATTTAAAAATCACTACTAGAGTAGGCGAAAGTGACTATCAAATGCGCTTTATGTTTACAGTGTATCCTTTTAGGAGTTATCCTTCTTATCACAGAATCAATGACCGTAAAAACTATTAATAATCATATTTGAAGGGGAAAATTTGGCATCAGTATACATGATGTTAAAAAAAGGCTGGTTTAATACGTGTATAACTATTAGATTGGAATTGATCGTCTTTATTGTTGCATTAACATAATTTATTATCCTGCATAAGTTTGTTTTCCTAGTACATTGAAATATGATTGAGCAAAAAAGCCCATTACCTTTATCCCTACAGATGAATAACTATTGTCACATACTAAACTCTGAGACAGGAGAAGATTTACTATCTCTGCCTCTGACTCCTTTCCCACGAGAATATACAGACTTTGTCGTTGGGAGGTGGTCTCCGGGGGGAGGGGTTACAGGCCTGATGACCCCCCGGGGTGACCGATAATGACCCAGTCACAAGAAGACTTGCGAACTGTATGTCAGATGTAGATATAATGTAGATAAAAGGCCATTCACACACCAGAATTGACAGATGGCCAGTGTTTAGTGCTATATGGACAGTGTTTTTAAATGATCATTATTGACGCTGCTGTTCTCAATAGAAAAGATTCCTAGAAACTCCTATACATTTGTATGTCAAGCTTTGTGGCTTTATAACCCCATCCTTTGCGCTAGTGGTTATGATTCGACCAATTTTAAATCTTTATAACCTAAAGATAATTCATCCAAAGTTTTTTGATTGCTGGCCCAAGACTTCTTCAGAAGAATATTTTTTTGAAAATGCCATTCATTTTCACTAATATTTTCACGTATCCTAAATTATCTCCCAATGAAAGAGAGTGTGGCCCTTCAATTGAACTTGATTCTCCTTCATAGGATACTTTGTGCCATGTTTGATGTTAGTTGGTCGTGTGGTTTTGGAAAAGAAGATGGAATTGAGAAAACCTGGCAACAACGCTTACAACGAAGAACGACATCGGACAAATTTCGACCTTCGACTCAGGTAAGCTTAAACTTAAATTCACCTGAACAATTTGGATGTCCTCTTCTTTCCTAAACTACACTTTAAAATACACCACCTGGAACCTGTCAAAAATGAGTAAATGGCATAAATCCATCATTATACTTTCAAACATGGTGTACAGAATAAATTAAAAAAGCTGTTATTACGCCAAAAATAAATATGATTGTTTAACAGAGTCCTTTTGTAGTTCCATCTTCTCCTTATAGTCCATGATTGATCTAATTTTAATCATCAAGAACTTTCAAGTGACTACATGTAGTATAACACAATTATTATTAGATTTTTTTGTACTCCATGTATACATGTATATTCATATTTTGATAGACCAATTTTAGAATTTCTTTGATAATATTGATAATATAACCAATGTATATTCAAAATGATATTTAGAAACCTGTGGATAAGCAATTTCTTCATCAATTACAGTTATTCAGCCCTTCCTTTGAAATCTGTCAAAAAATATCAGTACATTTAGTATAAATTTCTGTAAAACAAACTTAAAATTTTAGTTTCTGTGTAAGATACAGATATATGAATGTAATTATTGTAATTAGACAGTAAATCTGATATTTAAGTTTCTGAATGTATGTCTTAATCTTCTCCAAATAAAAAGAAAAATGTAAACCTGTTTTTGAACGTAATTATCTTCACAATTCTATAAAACGTTGCCATCTCATTCTGTAGTAACTGTCAAAATTACCAAAACAAATGTTTAAAAATAGACAAATAAATGAACATAGTACAGAGTTATGGTTATTGGTATAGTTATTCATCATACTTCACTGGCTATTCTTTGTAAAACATAAAATGTTCTAGGTTTTTGACTTAAGTAAGGGTCTAAGTATTTTATGACGCATTCGTATGTATGTCCTTGAAATGTTTTAAGTACAAATTTTACAAACTTTGAATTTGTCAACGGTAGTCCTATAACACCACAGTCATTCAGCACATCCTTGGAAATCTGTCAAAATAAACTCAAAATTAACTAAATATGCATTTAGTATATTTTTTCTGTAAATTGAACAGTTTATACAGGAACAAAATATTCTTTGTTTTAAATATACAGTGTATGATTGTAATTAGTCTGAGCTTTTAGGATTCTAGTGTATTTCTTTATCTTCTCCAAATATAAAGAAAAATGTAAACCTGTGTGATGGCTCCTGTAATTATCTTCACAAATCACTATAACGTTGGCATCATATTTTGTGGTAGCTGTCAAAATTTACAAAACCAATTCAAAAAATTTAGATTATTGTTTAAAGTAAGTTTCAAATTTATTTCAGTGACTCATTATACCAAACATCCAATTTAATAAAAAATAATAAAAAAGGGGAGCTAAGAATTTATTGTCTATATTTCCTTTTCCTTTTGTTTTGTTTTGCCTCTAGCAGAGCTTTCACCTGCAATTCAAGGGATTATCAATATTGCACCAAAACATGTACGTATCTGCAAAAAAGTAAGCCCTGCGGTGTTTTACTAGTCAGGTGATCTACTAACTTAGCTATTCAGGTTTCATACAAAGCTAAGTCTTCAGTATACCCCCGCTTGAAAATGGGAGGGTATGTATAGTAATCGGTATGTCCGTCCGTACGTCCTACAGTCCGTAGGTTTGTCCGTCTGTCTGTTACACTTTGGAATACCAATCCTTTATCCTCAACTCCTCTCATACTACTGAATGAAATTTGATAATATTCACAGAAATTTATTATATATTGCCATTGTGCACCTCCTATTTTACTTTCTGATCTGACACATACTCAGTATTTTAGGAGTCCGACAACAAAACATGCCATTATATTCATATGGGAGGCGGGAGTATTATTTACTGAGTTCATTGGTCACAGTACCTCTAGTTTTATATTATTTTAAAAATCCCAAGGTGTAACAATTTCTTCAAATATTGTTTAAGCATTTTGAAGATTGATTGATTTATTGTATTCTGTTTAACGTCCCTCTCCAGAATATTTCACTGATATGGAGACGTCAACATTGCCGGTGAAGGGCTGCAAATTTAGGCCTATGCTCGGCACTTACGGCCTTTGAGCAGGGAGGGATTTTTATCGTGCCACACCTGCTGTGACACGGGGCCTTGGTTTCAAGGTCTCATCCGAAGGACCGCCCCATTTAGTCGCCTTTTACGACAAGCAAGGGGGTACTGAGGACCTATTCTAACCCGGATCCCCACGGGGTAGGGTTTTGAAGAAATGTTAAGAATATAGACTACCATTGGCAAAAGGTTGTAAGGTTGGCGTTGGGGAAACAACGTTTGGCCAACGTTGGACCAATGTCACCATGCCAACCTTCTCGACCATGACAGAATTCCTATGTTGGCCCAACGTTGGTCCAACGTTAGCAACGTCCATTCACTTTACTTCCCAAGGAAGGAGGGGTGTTGATGCTGGCCCAACGTTGGCCCGATGTCTGTAATACACACGTAAAGAAAGTGGCATTTTAAGTTGGTAGTAGTATGTTGGCCCAACGTTGGCCCGATGTTTGTAATACACCCTTGAAGAAAGTGCCTTTTAAAGTTGGTAGTAGTATGTTGGCCCGATGTTTGTAATACACCCTTAAAGAAAGTGTTTTTTTTCTTTTTTTTAAATTGGTAGTAGTATGTTGGCCCAACGTTGGCCCAATGTTTGTTATACACCCATAAAAGAATGCGTCTTTTCAAGTTGATAGTAGTATGTTGGCCCAACGTTGGCCAAATGTTTGTAACACATACTTAATAAAGTGTCTTTTTAAGTTGGTAGTATTATGTCGGCCCAACGTTGGTCCAATGTTTGTTATACACCCTTAAAGAAAGTGTCTTATCAATTTGGTAGTAGTATGTTGGCCCAATGTTAGCACGAGTGTGTTTCAAAGATGGGATGTTTACATTGAGCCAACGCTGGCCCAATTATGATACTGCCAACTAAAGATGGTGTCAATTTTAGCTGCTGAGCTAACATTCTATGTCTATGTTTTTTATTGGATGACTGTTTTTGTTAAGATGTGATATATTCAACATTTTAAATTTTAATTTAAGTGATCACAGCACCAAAGAGTGTTTTATTTTAGTTTTTGAACTATGCACATGCATTATTATTAATTAGAAATAAAACCTTTGAAATTATGAATTTTTTCATGAGCGTTGTATTCATGAAAATTTAGAGAAGTCTGAATAAGTTCTCAGGAATAGGATGTGAATGAAGCCCACATATACATAAATCAAAATGACACAGCTTTATAATTAAATCGAAACAAAAGTTAGGCGTTCGCTAACACGTGACCAAACTGTGGAGTTTGCTGTCAGATTCAATTGCTCACAGGTGGTGATAATGGGGGCAAGCAAGAAGTGAAATTTAAATTTGTGGATTATACACTTGCTAGTTAGCTGCATTTAGAAGCGATGTAAGTAGATTTATTCTTATTTATTCAGTTTAACTTTTAAAATTGATTCGGAATTCATTCTTTTCATGTTTTTGCACACACGCACTGTAAGTAAAGGTTAAACAACATCTTTGAAGTTGTTTCTATCTATCTAATTCTTAACGATTGTAACATAGAAATTCAGTCAGAGACTGCAAGGAAAACAAATGTGGTGGCGGTAAATAGCAAAGAAATCGAAGATCATGCGTAAAGAATTGTATAAAGTACGAGTCCGTTTGATAAGATCAAGATGAAGAAAACGGGAGGTATCGAAGGGACGGAAAAAGAGCGGGAATACAACAAAAGGACGGTGATAAAAGAAGTGAGCCCTGATTAAGAACTTTGAATTGATAAATTTTCATAATTTACCTCTTGTGTCTATTCTAAAATTTATTTTGTAAATTATAATTGAATTGGTTTATATAAAATATTATCACAGTGAATCATTAGTAATGTTTTCATTGAACATGTCCATGTATGCATTATGAATGCAGATTGAATTGTGTATTAATTATTTTAAACAGTCAGAAAATAGGTTTATGTAAAGAATCACTTAACCAGTTGCAAATGTTTCTATGTAATAACTACGTTGGCCCAACAATTTGCCATCTGACATTGTAAAAAAGGGTCAACATTGGGCCAACCTAACCAACCAGTTGTTAAGGTTGGCTGTTAGTTGGCATACACTAAAAACTACGTTGGCCCAACAATATGCCATCTGACATTTCAGCATAGGGCCAACATTGGGCCAACCTATCCTAACAGTTGTAAAGGTTGGCTGTTAGTTGGCATACACTTATAGCTACGTTGGCCCAACAATATGCCATCTGACATTTCAACAAAGGCCCAACGTTTGGCCAACCTAACCAACCAGTTTTTAAGGTTGGCTGTTAGTTGTCATACAATTATACCTACGTTGGCCAACAATATTCCAACATGTTGGACCAACGTTGGGCCGATGAGCAAAATAACCGTGGGCCAACGTAAGGTTACCAACCGTGGGCCAACGTCGGCCCAACTATGTCTTGCTATCTGGGTATAGATGTAGGACTTAATAAAGTACGTGAGTTATATCTCCATTTCAATTCAGAGTTTGCAGCAACTTCATTAGGATTATTTATGAATTATTTTCTAGAGATCGATTTTGGTATGAACCAATAATTTATTCATTAGTTATATGTAATATCAATGTTTAGAATAGGCCCAGAGCGACCCAATGACTTTATTTAAATCCGCTATGGAATAATCACTCATTTATTGATAAACATGGTCCCAGGGAAAATAATACCCCAACCTTTGATAAATGTTTGGGGTATAATATGATATCTTGGGTGGGATACTTGCATTGCAAACAAGAACATTAATTTTTATTTTGTTCACCAATATAATAAAATAAAAATGAATATTAATCCGCGTAAAAATACTTCTTCAAGGAGATGAGATCATTTTTAGAGTTTCTTTGAGATATGGCATAAAGATAAGAACATAATGAATGATTTTATTCGTACCCACCCCCTTTCATCTCCCACATTAACTCTTATCAAGAGGCCCATGGGCTGCAACGCTCACTTTTGTAAGTGGCAATGCTGTTCTCAGGTTTTCCCAATTCAATATATGTTGTAGACGTACCCTTCGCCCGGGGGACATGATTTAGAGTATTAAGAATTAACATTTTCCAGGTTAAGTTTCAGCTTTCTTGGCCCAATGGTTCTCGAGAAGACTTTCAAAGACTTGATCTAAATATTTCAATGTAAAACTTGGATTAATTATTGTGGCCCTGTCCCTCCCCACGGGTCATTATTTGAACAATTAAGAATCTAGTACACTACTCTAGGAGTGATCCATATTAGTGTAAGGTTTTTCCCTATATATTTCAATGCAAAACTTTGATTTCCAATCTTAGATCTTGCTTATTCCTGTTGTTCAAAGGTTCACAATTTAGTTTTTGAACTACCGAGCATGCTTCCAAAAAACTTTCAGCTTTCCTGATCCAGTGGTTTCTTAAAAGATTTTTAAAAATGTTCCTATATATTTTATTGTAAAATTTGATTCACTTGTTTTTTTAATAAATCTGAAAGGTCATGCGGTCGTTGATGTTTTCAATGACTTTTTACTGTACTTAAAACATGTGTTCCGAGACGACCCCTAAGTATAACAAGACGGTAAGTTAATCTCAGCCGGAAATGGAGAAAATAATTCGTAATTTAGAAACCATGTAGGAATTTTTCAAATATGTGAGTCAATGTTGTTTCAAAGGACCGTTTTTTAAAATAAAAAACAATATTACTGTTGAATTGAATGCTTTCAATACACAAATTTATGAAATATAGTATGACGTGACCTCTATAAATTGGGGACTTCCTTGTTTGTTACTAACCTTGTTCATGTTACTCAGACTAATATTTTTGTTTGAGCAAATTAAAACAACTACTTCCATTGAATCAAAATGATCTGATTTAAAATACTTACTTGCAAAAAGGGTTAAAATAAATTTAAATCAACAAATTTATATGTACATCGGTATGATCAATTGTACTAGAATCAAATAAATTATGGCCATTGTTCATTCTACTCTTGTCTACTGTAAACAAATCAAGGACAATAAATGTCGAAGGAATACTTACTTTCTTTGCAGATCTCTCAATTCATGTAGCTTCCACTATAGTATTGTTTTTTCTATATTTTCTATAGTGAACCAATAGTATTGTTATTCTTCTTTCCTTGATCTATTAAACGTCTGACACTAAGTCCAATCGCATCATCTCGGGCATTTCCGTCAGACCTGGGAAAAACAACTCCGAATGTACAAGCATCATTGGAATGTATACATCTTCCTGTTGATTAAAAAATATGATATACGGATCTAATAGTTTTCTTTTTCTTTTTGTCCCTAGTTGATAGTATATTTTAGGTAATATCTTTACATTTAATAAAGTTTAACTCTATACTCCAGAGATAAGAGGTCTGTCCATGTTTATTGCAAAGTTTGAGAAAAAAAAGAGGGGTGTAATGTCGTCTACGTAATACATTTGAGATTTTTTTTTCGCAGGTCAAGAAAGGCCCGATGAGTTCCTATATTGTTGTTGGTCTTGACATTTGAAACAATGAATTTTATTTCGTATTTCGATTCAAATTTTATATAACTGATTGTGTGCTGTTGTATTTTTCATTGAAGATTTTTAAATCATATAAATATGTTGCAGTGGCCGGAATAAGACTTCAACTTTAGAGTTATACCAGTCACTTTCGTTCATAACTGATATGGGTTCTTTATTGTTCTAACGCTATTCGTGACCTAGTAGATAACTGTGACTGCTCAATATAACTAATTAATTAGCTTGATTAGGTGTGGCGTTTAGACATGTTGTAAATCGATACATTATGCATATGATGTCAGATGGCTTCGAAGTTGACATAGCAAGATATTTGCACCATAGTGACAGGACATCACTGGAGTATTATTTTACCAGGTGCAGAAGACAGAGGGTGATATAACATTCAAAAAAGGTTTTCCTGTCACCGAGTAGAAAATATTCTGGTATAGTCACCTGCAGAGAAGGCATGTGGTAAATCTAAATGTTATATAACAACATTTAAAATCAAAAAAAGCTTCATAATCCTTCAAGTTTAGACAAATACCCGTCAAATGGTGTTAATTTTGCTCCATTATTTACGTTTGCTTAAAAACCGACATGTTTCCATAACTTGCGATTCTCAGCCACGCAGGTAGAGTAGACAGTTTCAATAACCTTAACCAAAATATAATATAGTTAACTCTAATTTACTATAGTTATCTACTACAACTTTGAAAAACTTTGGCGAACACTTGGACACTTTGAAAAACTTTATCAAACACTTTGATACTTTGAAATACTTTTTTTGACAACTTCGTCACTTTGAAAAAAAAAAAATGGCGAAAACTTTAACACTTAAAATAAATCTGCGTTAAGATACTTTAAAGAGATAAGATCATTTTTAGAGTTTCTTTGAGATATGGCATGAAGATAAGAACATTATGAAGTATTTTATTACGTACCCACCCCCTGTCATACCCCATTAAAACTCATATCAAGAGATCCATGGGCCGCAACGCGCACCTTTGTAAGTGGCAATGCTGTTCTCAGATTTTCCCAATTCAATACCTGTTGTAGACTTACCCTTCGCCCGGGGGGGGCATGATTCAGACTATCAAGAATCAAAATTTCCCAAGTTAAGTTTCAGCTTTCTTGGCCCAGTGGTTTTTGAGAAGACTTTCAAAGACTTGTTCAAAGACTTGTTCTAAATATTTCAATGTAAAACTTGGATTAACTATTGTGGCCCTACCCCACGGGTCATTATTTGAACAATTTAGAATCTAGTAGACTACTCATGGATTGATCCATATGAGTAGAAGGTTTTTCCCTATATATTTCTATGCAAAACTTTGATTGCCAATCTTAGCTCTGGCTTATTCCTGGTGTTCAAGG